CCCTGGAGCTTTCTTCTTTTATTTTGATGAGAGGCAAGTGTTTTCTGAAATTATGCATATTTTAAGACTTGATTCATATTGCCACTAGACTGTCCTTGAACTACCAATGATTGTTATAAAATATCTAGTTTTTACTACTTTTATATATTTTACTTGCCAGATGAAGAGCTGAGCCTGATTCAAACAGTTTTTTTGGTTTTGTACTTTTCTTTTAGATTATTTGTTCTCATATTTGAGGGGTTTTTGTTTTTGTTTATTACTACATTTATATGTCTGATACATATACAAGCTTTGGAGACAATCAAGTAACAACTGAAAATGTGAAAGTAACCATTTTTGTCAAAATTCTCTTGAATTGTTATTCTTTGCTTGAAACATTTAAGATTTAAGTCACTGTGGTTTATTGGATTAAGTTTTTTTCCTGTTAATATAATTTTAGAAATAGAATCAGACAATGATGTAGGAAGTGTGGCCATTATAGGTTTTCATAAAATTACACTGACTTGGCTGTTACTTGATCTTAGGAACCAGCACAGTTAAAGATAAGATATTGTGAATTCTGATTTATATTTTATTAAATGCTATCAATGTAGTAGATCCTGTTGTATGTGCCGGGTCTAGTCCAGTTATTTAAGTTCATGTTTCACTATTTGCACTTTGCATTGAACAATGGGTTTATTCGCTGATGAATATGGTTTGAGTAGAGAATTTATATAGGATTTAAAATTATGACATCACACATACACTTGCTTCTCCCCTCCCCTCACCCTGGCAGGGGTGAACAGAGTCTGACATGTAAATGTGAATGAGGCCACAAAGGAGAGGAAAGTGATAAAGCTTGAACTTTTTGCCTTCGCTCCACATTGTCACCTGGAGAGCAAAAGAGCTGTAAGAAACACCGTGTCAGATGAGACAGAAAGAACCAGTAGATTATGAGGGACATTGAAAGCTTTTCAAACCCTCTTAAGAGAAATCAATGAAGCTCTACCTAAAAAAAAAAAAAAAATTACTTATTAGCTCTGTCTTTTGTTTCTGAACTTGAAGTCCCTAAACTGCAAAATCTAAATAAGAGATGGATGATTATTAAAATACTTTTTAGGTCAACTGTGGCACCAATCCTCATTTAATCCAAACTGTGACTAGATTCTTCCATTTCTTCTTCTTCTTCTTCTTCTTCTTCTTCTTCTTCTTCTTCTTCTTCTTCTTCTTCTTCTTCTTCTTCTTCTTCTTCTTCTTCTTCTTCTTCTTCTTCTTCTTCTTCTTCTTCTTCTTCTTCTTCTTCTTCTTCTTCTTCTTCTTCTTCTTCTTCTTCTTCTTCTTCTTCTTCTTCTTCTTCTTCTTCTTCTTCTTCTTCTTCTTCTTCTTCTTCTTCTTCTTCTTCTTCTTCTTCTTCTTCTTCTTCTTCTTCTTCTTCTTCTTCTTCTTCTTCTTCTTCTTCTTCTTCTTCTTCTTCTTCTTCTTCTTCTTCTTCTTCTTCTTCTTTTTTTTTTTTTTGCACTGGGAAAGGTGGAAACAAAACATGTACCGAAATACATATTGGAAATAAAAGTGGCTTGAGTGTCAGTGATATTCTCCCAGAATGTACTTTTCTTACCTCGGCATGTACTGTAGTCACTCAGTTTTTGTATATGTTGCTAGAATTTAGATTGTACAAATAGTGAGATTTTAATGTGTTAATGTGTTTTTAATAAATTGTATATATGTGTCTTGGTCAGATTATTTGGCTTAAATAAAACAATCTTGAGGTTTGTAGCTTTTTCTCATACTACACAAAATGCCAGATTCCTCTATTTTAACACCAGTCAGAAATTTCGTAGCGGATATTATAGTGCTTACAGCAACTTTTGAAAATGCCACTATTGCCTTTTTGCATTTTTCTCTGTGGCCAGCACCATCCTTTGTGAAGCCTGAGTGACTTTACATCAAGCTGAACTTCAGCAGCCAAGCCACAGCCTATGGTGGTGCTGTGTGAGGGAAAAAAAATCACACTGAACACATGCAGATTCCGGTATAGTACCTGTCTTTTCCACCTCAAAGTTATTAGGAGAATCAAATGAAACTGCCATTTTGCAAACATATGATGGTGTTAACATAGTCCATATAATTAATGTCTGATTTGGGTTAAATCAACTGCTAATTTTCCCCCTCTTACACTGCTTTCAGTATTTCATTTATTCCTCTTTCTGATCCTCATCTAATATTTCACCCTTTATATGCTCTTTTTAGGGAGGCAGGCTGTTTGTCAGTAACACCGGTGTTTCCCAGTGATTTTTATTGTTCAAGAGACATAATTCTTCAACTCATACCCTTCCTGGCAGCTTTAATTCCATCCTCTTTATAACCACTACAGTTCTCTGCATTTCTCCTTCACCTCTCATCCCCCTGCCTCCAAATAGCCCTTGGTTATATTTATTAAAATTTGGAAAGGAAGATAAAGCTCATCACATTTGTAAGACTGGCTTGTTTGCATCCAACTGAATTCTCTGGAGCAGCCTAGGTAGCCAGGTAAATTTTGCATTTGAAGGTTAGATTTAATAGTGCAAAACTGAGATTTTTCATGAAAATACCATTTAAATCCAAAAAACAATATAACTCTTTAGGTTTTACTTGCTCTGTTGCCTTTCCTAATTTATTTCAAACAGAAAACTTTAAAAATGTAATGACTAAATTAAGCCAGGCAAAAAAATGTTTAAGAATTTTCTCCTTCTTGAGCTTGTCTAGCCTTGCTTTTTTGTACAAACTTTATTTCTTTAAAATAATGCAAATCCACCAGACTTTAGTAGTTGAATTCTTTAGTTATTTACTCATCCAGAATTTCATGTTTAGCCCATTTCCTTTAACTTAAAAACAGACAAGGAAAAAAACCTCCATCTTCATTCTACCAAATTACTCATTACACAGTTTAATTAATTGCAGGGGGGGGAGCTTAATCAAGCTAGCATGAACTGAGATTTCCATAGCCAATTGGTTCCAGTTTGCCAAATCAAGGCACAATCACATGCCAATTCCCCACCAGCCAGGTTTACAATAGCCAAATAAATATATGTCTCAAAATGTCATGTTACAGTCAAAATTGTTGTGGTAAACTAAATCTCCTTACTTAGTAGTGAGTCACATCCCTTTAAAAGTCTACGATGAAGTAACCATAAAAAGAGGTTTAAAAACACCTCAGAAAACTAGCTTATTTTCAAAATACAATGCACAAAACTTACTTCGCTGATAAACATTTTTGTCTTTTATAAATTAAATATATTCACAGAAATTAGTCTGGTGGTTATAAATCACCAGGCAGCAATAGACTTAATATACACAATTATTTGACAAGTACATCCAACATATTTAAAAATAAACTAAAAATTGCCGTATAAAAATAAAACATACTGTAAGCATCATCTTCTGAGTCTGTAGGGTCACTCTTGAGTCAGGTTGATTACAAAGTTTTTTTCTATAATGTCCTTCAAAAAGAACTGCTCTGCAGTCACATTATGATATTCATTCTATAGAAAAAAATAACATTACCATCTGTACCAATCTCAAAATATTAGCAGCAGCAATGAAATATTTTGTATCTAAAATGTTTCTGAATAAAAAACTGAAATGTTAAGTAGCAAGTCACATGGACTTTTAACTTTTGTTACCTTTCTAATTTCTTTTTCCTTGCTCATTCTTGTGTGAGAGCTTTCCCTAAAGCCCACTCTTTCCACTTCAACTATCACATAAGAGGCTCCTTCAGATCGCCCCCTGGTATACTGAATCATGGTATAAATCTAGAGACCAAAACTGTAAGTCAGAATGTGTTGTTCACTTTTATAAAAGCAGCACCTGGAACTCATAATATTAAGAGAAAAATTGGCCTGGAGATAAGAAATTACCATAAAGCATTGTTAAGATTTTTTATTTCTTTTTAATTCCATTCTATTGATGGACATCCTAATTTTCCTCAGGAAGTTATTTTTCTATTCTTTTCTTTAGATGAATCTTGAAGTACCACAAGTGTTACAGGAAAAATTAGGGCTGAGGAGAAATAAGACTAAGTCTATTCCAGGCACCTAGTTCTTAAACTGTTCAAGTGTTTCTCTTGGGTTTCAGGTGGGGGCGGGGGGTGCAAAAGAGTATTAAAATCTAACCTGAATAATACCACTTCCTCAGCTTATGCAGTATTTGAGGATGATTTAAGGGCACTGATTTCATGGGAAATATACCTAACTAACTTCACAGCAGATCATTCATATTTCAATATTAAAAATGTACAGATAAGTCTTATCACTTGTGATACATCACTAATCTCTATCAGAATTAGAAAAATAGGAGACCCCTTCCCATCCAGTTGGTTAAAATAAAAATCTGAAAAAAAAAAAAAAAAAAGCTACCAGTATTGATCCCTATTCAAAAGCATAATCCATTATAAAGGTTTGCAACCTTTTTGATCATGAAGATCCTTTTTGGGGTTAAAGTGTTCTAGACCATCTTGTCTACTTAACTGAAAAAATACATGAAAATACTATGAGTATAGGAATGCTTTTTGGTGTATTTGCAATACCGCAAACACAGCAGGGTGCTTATCTTGTGCAAACACAATACAATATATAAAATAAGTCTTGGTCCCTAGATGGGTTTGACGACACTTGCTGATTACCATGAGGTTCTCCCAAGGGTCTGAGCCCCACATACTGGGAATTGCTGCTGTATTAAAATGACCTCTGGAGCTCAGTCCTAGTTCCAGCCCCTGGTAGCTCTGTAACCCCCATCCAGCCCTCAACCCCTCAAAACCTGTTCCCTCAGTAAAATGACAAGGTGAGAAGAGAAAATAGGGGCTTTCCAACACTAAAGATTATACCAAAGTATTATGTATGTTACCTTAAGTATATTACCTTATTCATCAAAGACATGGTGGCATTCCCATAGTAGTGCAAAGGACTCTTGAGGTCAGAAAAGTTGTATTTAAAACCAGCTATGTGAACTTCATGACATATGAGAAATGCCAGTGTGATGGCAATAATTCCTGTTGTAGGGTGTTTGGGTTTCTGCAGGGGAGAAAAGATTTAAAAGAAAAATCCAAATGAGCTACTTGTTTCCAAAGCACATTTGGTTGGCTAATCTTACAAAACAGGAATTTCTGAACATTTTAATCAGGAGAAAAATATTTAATTAAATGCTCATCATGTCCTAAGGCTCAAGCCTCAAACAGTACACATATACAAATTAACTCTGAAAAGAATATAAACTGTGATTGAAATCTTAGAAAGTCTTTCAAATAAAACAGCTGCAAAATTAGCCCAGAAGAAAACTGTCAAATGAAGGTAAATCTCAGGCGTAAGGAAGAGGATACTGCTGCATCGTTTAAAAAAAAAAAAATATGATGGGCCAGGCTCTTTATGGAAAAGCAAAGCCTGGGAATTCTGAATACATACATGAGGTGTAAGGACAGCCTAATTTACTAACAGATAGAATCATGATAAAAGCCTTTATAAATATTAGCCTTTAAATAGCTAAATTTTATACTCCTGATAATTTAAACTGGCTCTAGGGAAGGACTAATCAAGCAACTTCAGCAAATTGTAATAGTATCTGACTAGAAAATAAAGATTCCATAGGTATATATAGCAATATCAATCTCAACTGGATCATTATCAATTTTTAAAAAAAGGAAAAAGAGAAACCAAGCCTCCTCTTTCCCCCTTCATAGTCAAGTTACTTCAAAGAGTTTGTGGAAAAAAAGATGATATGAATCTTTCCATGAACTTTTGAAGTATACATATATACTAAAAACCTGTGTAATCGATGTTTGACAGGAAGGTCTTGGCGTTCATAAGTTTTAGTTCTCACTGGCATGGCCTTTAAAGCCAAAAACAAAATATATCTTAAACTTTTCACTCAACTGCTCTAGAAGACTTCCTTTCAAGTGTTTCCTACAGACTGCATGGAAATAACATATTATTATGATTTTGAGGGGGAAAAAATGAACTACAGGAGGCAAGCTTGTCTGAAAGCCTAATAGCTTGTAGCATAAGCATTTCTTTACCCCAGGTACTACTGTGACCTAGAAGTCATTCAACCTCACTGATCCTATCATTTTTCTTTCTCTTTGTCCCTTGTCATGTCTTCCCCTTCCTGTTTCCTATGTAGACCTTCAACTCATCTGCACCCATCACCCACAAACCTACATACTCACCTGACAGAATCTGAACCCTGGTGAAACCCAATTTTCCTGTCACTTTGCACCCACACCCAAGCAACAGAATAGGGCAAGAGAAAAACAGGCTTGCTTACTCGAACATTCAATTTATGACCAAAGTCTAAAGTGGGCAGTGTGTCCAGCAATCCAATTAGATCCACCTAGTAAATTTCTATTCCTATTCTTCAAGATGACAATTTTATAACTTTCTATCCTCCAAAAGCCCTAAGGTCCTTCCTACTTTAAATTGACAGTTTAGTCCTTTTTTCTAAGAAACGAAAGTAGTTGAACAAAAGCTACATCATCTCTGCAACTCTAAATCTACCATCTTACCTGCATCTTTACCCATATGTGCAGTGCTCACTCTTCTTACAGTGGCTGTCCTGTTCATACCTACAGCCAGCCCCTTCGAATGGTGTACTAGGTTTTATCCCATCTTTTTTCTCAACAACTTTGCTTCTATACATTCACTTTCTCCCCTTATCTTCAATATTTTCTTCTATTGAATCATTCCCTTTAGCATGCTGACATACCATCTATCTTTAAGAAAAGCAAAACAAACTTTCTTAATCCTATGTCATCTTCCAACTCTTGCTCCATTTCTCTGATCTTTGTTCTAACAAAACTCCATTAAAGACTTGTCCCCACTTGCTCATGTTCCACATTCTCTTTAACCCAATTAAAGTAGGCTTTCTT